GCTTCTCTCCCTTAGGCTTCTCTCCCTCCCCGGCAGGGGGCGGAGCGGCGCTTCCCGCTGGCGCTTCTTTCTCGCCCTTCATTCCCTTTCCTTTCCCTTTCTTAGGCTTCTTTCCCCTCATTCCCTCAGCCATTGCAGTGCCGTTTCCCTTGTTGCCGTTGCCGCCGAGGTTAAGGCCATCTCCAGTAATGCCGCCACCTGGTCCACCGAGAGTAAGACCTCCGATCATCAGGCCTTGAGGATTGCGGGGGTGGACGCCATGGCCGACGTCTGCATCACGCTGGACAGCAGTGGTGTGGGGTGCTGAGGAAATGCCCCTGATCTGATATAAGTGTAAGTATTCAAGATAGACTTATTAGAGTGGCCTGTAGTAGCAGTCACTGTGCTATTTTTTTTACGTACCGCTCCGATTCTCCGGGAAGGAAGCTTGTAGTCGGTTCCAACGTCGCGAGAAGGAATGACATAAGCATTGGCGGTGGAGAAAAGCGCGAGTCCGAATGTCAAATCCAGAGAGACCCTCATGTTGATAGAAGTGGGATTGTTCGAAGTGAATGGAATTTTTTGAAATGAGACTGTCCGGCAGCGAATGTAACCGAATGTAAATGAGTGTGTGTAGAAGCACGAGCAAGCTATGAAGGAACTCCAGAAGGTTTTTATACCAGAGTACTACCACTGACAGGCGTTGAGTCTTAGCTACAGAATGCTTACGTCCGCCTTACATCCTGGGCGTCGTCCTAGGCGTTACTGACAAACGCAAGATGCAACGCATCTAGAACATCGCCTGAATGCTTGAAAAAAACCACGCATGGTAGAAACCAAGTGTCAAACGCCAATGCATACAAAGGCTTGGTGTGTGATAGGGCGATGGCGTGCTCTCCACGTTGCACGATCGTCGCAGCTCGGTTTAGCTTCGTAGCTATTTGTGATTATGGACTCCTGGACCATTCTACGGGTGCGCATTCCAAGACTTCCGAAGACCAAGCATCTCCATCAAGCTTCTCATGTGTTCCATTCTTGGGTGCAACGCCATGGACGCCAAGAATGATTCAGAAGACGGTGGCCGCGTATAAGGGGGGGTACACCCAGATTTAGTGTGCAAGCGAGTTTCGAATCAAACAACGCATGACATTTCTCTTTATCTGTTTAGTATATCCAAACCTGGTATAGCTATAGGCCAAGGGCGGTAATGTTTCTTCAATAGATTAATGGTCCGTGATCATGTAGAAATAGGTGTGATGTAGATTGATGCGACTGACAGCGAATCTGCTTGGTGTCGCTCGCGTCTGATACTTACTACTACCCGTTGGGAGTGCAGAAACTACGTGACACCTGACACCAGCTAGATCACCGTTAAACGGTATCGTACTGTAAGTGATGCCGGATGCCACTCAAATCACTGTCGCACGTGTGCGACACAAGTTACATAGACCGCTGCCAGATCCGACACAGTAGGGCGGATGTTGGCCGCATCCGAGCCTGATACGCTAGCGGTGATTGGCTGGATTTCCATGTGAGCAGATCACATGACGAGGAACAACATCAACACCATCCGCTGCAGGTACGTTGTCGCATTCGCAATCACCAAGTGACCATAGCCGCAAATTCGCAAGCAGAATGTCACCAGGTTAAGTCGCTTCGATATAAGCGTGCCGTGGCATTCCATGGGCACAATACCCGCGACATGTCCATACTCAGGTACCAGCAGACCTTGAGCTGCTGTCACCAAAATTGAGAGCTGTCATGATTATATTCACTCTCAAAATTTCGTCACATCAGTCACTCCTTCTCACGAATTATCCTTCATCTTCGCGAACACTTCAGGTCTTATATCATTACATTATCTATGAAGAAAGATATACAAAGGAAGAAGATCCATGATGCTGCCAGCTTTCAAAGCACTCGTTGAACTCTTCCATAAGGGGATCTCACGGGGGGTTGTTTGAACTTCTTTCCTTCCCCTACTCTATATCCATCCTACAGCAAAACAAACCAATCTATATCAATTGCCATCAACATTTGTCTCCATCCAGGAAGGGGGGTATTTTCGTACAGTTGGTATGTACTGCACGTTGTCGTCCTCATCACTCGAGATGAGGACGTCTCTTGAGACTGTGGATATCGTGTCTATTGAACGCGTGTATCCGTGATGCATCAAGTGCATGTCCAGCCCGTACGCGCTCTCTTGTTAAGTTCAGCGATGGCTTTTTTTTTTGGATATGACGAGGGTCTGCAAGGGCCCGCATGTTGTCCATGATGTCGCTGAGGGTGGTCAGATCTATGCTATCCATGATCCCACCCCGATCTTGGTTGTCGGGATAGATGACCCGGGCGGCTTCGTTCCTCGCTTTGTGAACCTCCTCAACACTCCCAGTATGTATATCGTACGGATCTCCGCCTGTGTTACGGAAGTTTTCGATTATGGGAGGCTGCGGAGGTTCTCGAAGAGGGGGGGGGCAATCGTGCCTTACTCTTCTTCTTGCGCAGCCTCCCATTCTTCGTATAGCCGCTTCCCTTCCTCGCCGTACTTGTCCCAAGCATCTCGCAGCGATGCCTCGGTCTCCCCTGGGAATTGGTGTAAGAAGAAAGACGGACCCTTCTTCAAAATCCGTTTCCAGCGGTATAGCATCCGCTTGGCTTCATCGTTCCACCCGACAAATTGGAACTTGTCCTTGTCTTGCTGTCGGGCTTTCTTCGTGGACGACTGAGTTGTCGTGCCACGGGAACTTTGAAGTCCGGAAACTGGGCGGGAATAATATGTCAGCGAAGGTACAAGTCATGATAGAGTGGTATTCTTACCGGACCCAGAACCTTGGGGATTCCCCAAGTACGACGGGCCCCCGACATGTGGGGATCCTGGCAGGATCCCTGCACTTCCTGGGACTTCTGTCATGCCAGATTGTCGGAGGGATGGATTTTGGTATGAATCAAAATCCATTTGCTCCTCGGGTCGGGGAGGAGGAGCATATACAAATGCTTCCCCAGTCCAAACCCTGTTCCCGAAGGGAGCAGCTGGATGAAGGATATCAGTCGCTGAAAGCTCGCAAGTATTAGATCTTTGGTACTTACGCTGATCCGATTGATCCCTCGGCCTTCTGGGATTCATGAAGGAGGAGGCGAAGTCTCCCTCGTTGTCGGGAAACAACGACCCCTCCAACTCCATGAAGCGAGTGTATCTACCCCATTGGGGCGTGTTGTGTTTGTTGTTTTGATCATTGGTATGATCGGTCATGGTCACTTGGTTGTATTGGTTATCGAGGTTGTTGAAGGGAGAAAGGTGGCTGGCAGTGAGCCATATATATACTCAAGGGTCATCGTTTGCATGAAAGGGGGGCTAGAGGATGGGTATGACGTTTCTACCAAGGCGACGGTGGTGTGGAGTGAAAAATGAGCAAGGCAGACAAAGGTGAATACCCAATTCACTACCCAAAAACGGTTTCACCTCGCTAAGTGAGTAGCCAGGTGCAGTCAAGACCGTTTTCGTAGTTTTTTCACCGTTTGTCGGAAAGGGTTTTTAGGTTTCATCAGAGGGACGAGTTGGTCATGTATTCGTACTGTTGTTGCTAACAGCAGAGACAGGGGGGAAATTGAACATGATGACTAGCAGTCAAACACCGCGCTGGAGTAGTTCACAATTTCATCAAGAGACTAGATCGATATTATTTATAATATTTCTGCCAATTTATTCTACTCTTCCACACAATCTCCGTTCCATCACACCAGCAATTTCAATTGCCGGTGATACATCCCACGTAGCCTGAGACATAGACTTTTACTCTGAGGAATCCACAAAAAAACAACCTCTCAGAAAGAGTCTTGACGACACTCGTAGATAGAGTAATCTATTTTCACTCCTTGTTGATGAAATCCATAGGATGACCTCCGTGTACAATCTGGCTCAGAGTTGCTTCACACTCTCTAACCGACAATGGCAAGTTCGCGCCCCTATTCAAAGGCACAGTGGGCTTGTTGAAACCCGAATCATGGCCTATAGACCCCCCTTGAATATTGTGCCCAACCTTTGGTGCAATGTATCGGTATCGTGGTGCTGCAGGAGTATGAATATGACCGTAGTGTGGCATCGGGGCTGTCTGCGCGCTCGTTGTGCGATCTGAGTGATTCCATCAGTATCGAGTGTCATCACTTCCTGTTCGACTCACCCTTCTTGTCACTGAGCATGAATGAAAACGCACCGCGGAAAGCAGCGATGATCCTTTCCAGAGTGTTGCCGTCGATATAGAAGTTCAGCCGATTGAAGCTTAGATGCAGTGCGAGCGTTGGAATGCCGCCAGTGGTTTCCAGCAGATCGAAAGCATTAGAAAGAGCAATTTTGAGTACTAGCGGATTCATGTGTAGCGTGTGTGCAAGAGCAGAAAGTGCAATCTGGGCTTCACGGCTACCCTCATCGTTGTAGAGTCCGCGTCTCGGATCCATGCTCATGAGGTTGGGTGTCGGTTGGTGTAGCACGGTTGGCAAACGAAACAGTTGAATAGTCTTGTCGAGAGTGAGTGATGTGACAAACCCGCGCAAGTTGGACTCATACCTCTATCCGCTTTAGCAAGCGCGCTAAGCTTATTGTCTCATATTGCCTGATGAACCTCAACAATGGTCATTTTACATCTTCAAAATCTAAGCATTGTCTCGTACAGTATACCTCTACCGGTGACGGAGCAACCAGTGCCTCGCCCTAAGGAAGCGATGCGTGACGTGCCTGAATGAGGTTCGCCTGGAAATAGACAGATGAGATACGTGGTTGCATTCCCTACCTTATCCTTACATACTGTGCAGCTCTTGTTGGCTTCTCCATCTATCGTTAGATCTTTCTCGACACAATATGATTGTGTTTCTACGCAGAAACAGTGAAGTCTTGGTCGATCTACGTTAGCGCGGTCGCTGTGATGAGTACCTTCCCAAATGGCTAGCATAAAGTAATCCATCACGGCGAGAGCATCAAGTTTGTCAATTATAATGTTTGTTGGTGTGAGACTGTTGTGTACTCGTCTAAGTAAGTGAAGGTGGTGGATCGCATACTTCACTTAATACAGACGTGCTACTGTGACCCTATTGACATTTGATTCAGTTTCCTGTACTTCTAGAGTTCTCACTGGCTCTGATATCGCAGTGTCACTATTCTCAATGCATGGCCTACTTCGTTAAGGTCCTCCTGGGAAAATCATGTATAGGCGGCATTGACAAGATTCTATGCTTCAACATTGCTTAAAAACACATTATCTTATCAAAGCCCCTCTAATTACAACTTGAACCGTGTATTAGGATCAGTGGCGACAAGAGCAGCGGGCAATCAAGCAGTCAGCAGTTTCAGCGGTGAGTAGTTGCAGGAGCCAGAGCAGTGAGCACTCAGCCAAACAGAATTCATGGACGACTTCCTATCCGTTGTTCATGATAAGAGTTGAGGACTCACCTTCTAATCTCTCATGTTTGTCCTTAGTTAGCCATTCTAGATGCAACACCCAACGATTCGTGTGACCAAGGGGAAATACACAACTCACAACCAGATATACAGCCAAATACAATGGCTACTGAATAGTCTTAAAGATCAAGATGTCCAACCGCGCAAGCAACATAGTCCTAGTAACATGTATTTCGATCGTAGCTATGTTGAAAATTTATAAGCTTCCATGTTTTGCAAAGCATCACAACCCTATCCTCCCTCACTACCATAATGCAATGCAAACTCCACATAGCTCAAATGCAGGGAGAAAAGAAAAAAGAAAGTAACCGTGCAAAAGGCGAAAAGTACGAGTAATCCAAGTGGGGCTACTCTATCCTTCGCATTCGGGGCGCACGCCACGGGCGGGGCGCTAGCCGTGTGGCCTAGGCGGTTGACTCGGAACTGTATGAAGCCGGCATGTCGATATGATAACAGAAGTATACGTCATGGCTTGTAAAGTATACATCTTCACCATCAGGTAAACGTCAGATTGTAAGCAACATACCTGGTTCTTAATTATATGCCAGTCTCTTTGGAGCACATGTTGTGACGATGTATCACGTCAAACATACACTATAGAACCCAACGAAAATTCATCAGCCTTGGGGACGTAGTTATCCTTGCTTGTAAGTCAATCACGAAGGTTGATCCAGCCAACCTAGTATCACTTGTTTCCGCAGTTGGATGCACACGTTCTGTTAAGAGAATAGGATTACCCACTACACTTACATGACACAAGAAAGAGGTAAGGAAAAGTTCAAATTCTCGCAAGTGATAGGAAAACAGCAGCAGACCTGGTGCCGCCCGCACAGCGCAATGTGTTACGTGTGTGTGTGTGTGTGTGGCACAACAGCGCCTTCTGCTTAGAGAGTGTTGAAATACCATATTGTACGCCACCCATAAGCCGAACACCCGGAACCCAAATCCATGAAACACCAGCCTAAAGCATTTTGCGGGCTCTTGCATTTGTCAATATGCCCGGCCTATGACCTCTTCAAGATCTACTTATGGCATCTCCTGATCGCTAGCGTCGAGGATATCATACTCCTCGTCGGTCAAGAAGCCATCGTCGGAGTGGAGTGCAACGCTCTCGGCATCCTCGAAGAACTCATCATCCGAAGCTACAGTGATAGTGCGGGCCACAGTGCTCTTTGCGGAAAGAGGAGACATGGGCTGAGCAGCAGGAGATGGCTGATAGGTACTTGATGCAGGTGACTCCTTGTCGAGCTGAGGGAAAATCATGCCAGACGATGAAGGTCCGGCTTCAGGCTTCAAGGGCTCCTCTGGACTGGGGAGCTCGACGACTGGCTCTTCAACTGCCTTCTCAACGGCCTCTACAGCTGGCTCTTCAGGGGCAGCCTCGACCTTTGGTGAGACGGGCTCCTGCTTGATAGGAGCGAGGGCCGCCTCGTGCTCCTTGCGGCGGAGCTCGAGGAGACGCTCGACAGCAGCCTTGCGAACACGCTGCACTTGCTCCATCTTTTGCTGGTGGTTCTGCTCAAGTTGCTGCAAGTGAGTCTGGCGCATGTACTTTACCCTCTCCCTCTCAGCTCTTGCCTGAATAAGGCGCTCGTACATTGGGTTAGACCTGGGGGCAACCTCGTAAGTGGTTGCGGTACCAGGCCTGGAAGCGGCCTGTTGTGGCTCTGCGGGTGCTGGTGCAGCAATGACGGCAATATCACACCACAGGCGGTGACCAAAGGGCATACCAGAGGGAGTCTTCAAGCGCCAGTATGAGATTGCGGTGCCCTCACGCTGGGGTGCCTTCATGACTACACGGAACTGAGCCTCCTCACCGGGCTGAACGGCATCATCCAAGACGTTGCTCTCGCTGGCCTCGGCAAGGTCCGTGTGGCTCAATGGCTGGCTGTTGTCAATGTTGAGCATGTTGTCGCCACCAACGTGGCGGACACTGCATCCAGCAGGCCAGGCATTTGGTCCTGGGTTGCGGAGAGTCCAGGTCTGGACAAATGTGGCGCCGGTAATGATCCTAGAACCATCAATAATGGTATCCCGAATAAAGTGGGCATCAAGTCCATCCGCCGCAGTCTCAGATCGGGGGATCGGAATGGCCTCCGACTTGACGGGCTTCTCCTCAGCAGGTGCAACGACCTTCTCTTGGACTGGCTCGATCGAGTCGACGAGAAGATCACTGATGGTGATCTTCTCCTTCTTAGCCTGGGACTCTTCTGGCTTCACATCAAGAATGGTTTGGACTTGTGTCGCGGCATTGGCAGAAGGAGTGATGGAAGGAGCGACAGAAGGAGCAACGGAAGTATCAGTGGCGGTAGAGCGCCTGGCAGCCGCCAAACGATCACCAAGGCGAGAGAGCAACTTGCCCTCCTTGTCATCGTTGACAGTTGTCACGCTAACGCTGCGCACAGGTGTCTGGAACTTGATGAGAGGATGGGTGTGGTTGTGCTTGTTGCTAGGATGGGCCTCGCAGTTCTGGCAAAAGTCTGTGTCGTGGCAGACGGCACACTTGTAGCGGATGCCTTCAATGTAGGACAGGTTTTCCTTGTCTTTGCAGAGAGGCCCGTCACAGTAGATGCCGTAGTGGCGGTTGGGGCTGCTCATTGGCTCAGCCAAAGGCTCGTAAATGGGAACGAAGCGGTGGCGTGGGTGAATGAACCTGGCATTCTTTACACAATCGGTGCAGTAGTCCCAATCAGGACAGTTGAGGCACTTGTGGCGAATGCCATAAATGAACTTGTCACAGCCATCGCAGACGGCCGAGTGGCGGACATTCCTTCCAGAGTTGCACAAGAAATCGGCGAGAGTGGGTAGGACAGTCTCACTTGTGGCGGCCTTGAAAGCGTGACCTGGGTGATGACCATGCTTGTTGCTGATGTGGCACTGCAGGCAAAGGTCGTAATCATCGCAAGCGACACATGTGACGAACTCCCTCTCTGGCAGAATCTTGACACAGCAGTTGCAGGTGCGAGTTGGCTCCTCGTCATACACAACAGGCTGTTTTTCCTCAGTGAAGGCGCCTGGGACCTCTTGTTCTTGAGGCTCTTGAGGCTCTTGAGACTCTTGAGACTCCTGAGACTTTTGAGGCTCCTCGGCCTCGGCTTCGGCTTCGGTCTCGGCCTTGGCCTTTGGTGCAATGCGCTGGGTCGTGCTGTTAACAACGACACCGTTCTTGACGAAGCGCTTGACCATCCAGTGGCTGTTTCCAGGGCAGTGGATGCCATTGGTGACACATGCAGGGCAAAGGTCATAGTCGCCTCCGTCGCATACACTGCAGTGGTAGTGCTCATCTTCCATGGGCTCGTTGCAGTTATTGCAGTACACAACCCACGACGTACACACGTTCGTCGGCTTGGGGCGGAAGGCGAGACTCGAGTTGCTGCCAGCAGCTGTGATGTTGCCAAAGAAGTCTGGATTCCATGTTAGCCACATGCTTCATGATCGATCTTGTGGTCGATGCCTACCCTGACGAGTCGTGAAGGCCTGAGGCACTGGAGCCTCTTGCTCTTTCTCGTTGGCCTTTGGTAACAAAACGGAGCTGATTGAGCGAATCGACTTGGAGTCGGGCGAACGAGCGATAACGGGCGGGGTGACAACTTGCGGGGTGACAACCTGCTCCTGGGTAAGATCGTCCGAGCTTGTTTCATGAGCTTCGGCGGGTGTCTCTTGAGGTGCTGCAGGCGCAGGTGTGGGTGCAGGCACTGGCTCCTCGCCGGGAACGGAAACCCTCAGGCGGAGCTTGAGTTTGGCCTTTGCAGCGCGGAAGAGCGTCTTGTAGACCTGGGGCTTGTTGGAGTCCAAGGTGACGTAGGCTGCCGCCGAGTCGGAGTAGCGTTCAAAGAGAACATCCTTGTCTTGGTGGAGTGCGAGGATAGCTCGGAGCTGTGAGCGAGCATACAGTCAGTATTCGCATCTTCAAGTAATCCGCCACATTCCAGAGCCGTGTTGGCGTCCGCGTGAGCCGGACATGAAGCTGCATGGGACTATACGGACCTTGTCAGGAAGCACA